TTTTTTTTATTGATTTCAGAGAAGAAGGGAGAGGGAGAGAGAGATCGAAACATCAATGATGAGAGAAAATCACTGACCAGCTGCCTCCTGCAAGCCCCACACTGGGGATTGAGCCCACAACCCAGTCATGTGCCCTGAGCGGGAATCAAACCGTGACCTCCTGGTTCATAGGTCGATGCTCAACCACTGAGCCACGCTGGCTGGGCAACATGTCTCTAAGAAAGAAACTAAATAACTGGATTTCATAAAAAATTTACAATTCCATGATTGCACTGGCCCACACCAGATTCTTCCTTTTTTAATGCCACTTACTGATAGGTATTATACTCCCAAGAGGGCCATGGGCCCTTGTTCCTGCCATTTTGTTTCCTTAGAACAGATGGGGAAATGAGCAGGCCGGCCTAAAAGCAACTCCTCGTGCAGACATGTGGCTATCACTTGCAATAAGGATAGAATAAAGGCCCGTGGGTTTTTCTTAGCAGCATCTGCCCAGTGGTCAGAGGATGTCTGCCAGGGCCTCAGACACAGCTGACGTGGAACTGGTTCTGAAGGGGTAGGTCTTGTATTACCTTTCCTGGGACCTCACGGGTGATTTAACATGAGTCTGGAAGAGGCCACATCAGGGATGTCTCGTGGCTGTTATTTTAAATCAGAAGCTTTTCTTTCAGTTTCTCCAGTGAGAGGGTTTCAACAGGTGTTGAAAAGTCGAAGGCAGCAGAGGGTGAGCTACAATAAGCAGCGTGTGTCTGGCGTCTAATTTGATTTGACTTGCTTTCCTGGCCACGAGAACTTGGAGCCAGGAATAGAAAGCACAGGCTGTGGAAGTGACAGCTCCCTGCAGCATGTCTCTGACTCCCTCCAGCCCAAGGGTTTACCCTACAGCCACCGAACCGGGTGAAGGGAGATGGCCAAGGACTCATGTCAGATACGCACAGCATGGGGGATTGCTTTTTATTGCGTTTGAAAAGCCCCAGCAAAATCTCTTCCCCAAACTTTCCATGATCAGGCAAAGGACTGATTTATAAAGCACGAGTCCAACTGGGCCAGCTCTCCTGGCCGGCTAAAATTGGCCTGAAAAATAAAGTAATTTGTGGTTGTCAGATCTTAAATTAAATGATTCAAATACTACTGCGGCTGATTAAAGGCCTTTATTCAATTTCCTCTTGACCACATGTTCTGTGAAGGCAGGAGAGATACTGTTTCTAGAAAAAAGGCAATATTCAGAGGCTGTTGGTCTAACCTAATGGATGGTGTTTATTCAATATGGTTGCCCCTCCCTTTCTGATGAAAGGTGAGCCTACAATGGAGGAAATGACTGTTTGTTTAACTATGAATGCCTCTCCCCCGGCCAGCCATCTGGGTAGGAGCCTCCACAGTGAACCAGGCTGGGTGCCCGAGGAATTTTAAGGACCCTTAAACAACCTGTAGGCAACAAAAATAAAGGTCAACAAAATGAAACTCAAGATGAGAAAACAGAAAAAAGAAAAAGAGAATCTGGGACTGTAGCAGACAGTTTAATAGTAGAACCCGAATCACCCAGGGCACCAGGGGAAGGGACCGCCTTTTGTACTGGCCACCTTAGTGCCCTTTGTTCTTGGCCCGTGAGGGGACCATGACCCAGAGCAGCCAATCCAGATGTATGATGAGCCCGGGCATAAAACAGATGAGCTGGGCTGGGGGCGTGAGTGAAGAGCTGCAGCAGTGGGTGGTTAGCAGCTGGTGCAGACACTGTGAGGAAAGGGAGGGGCCAGGAGATGTTCAGATCAGCAGTATGTTCAGATATGAAGAGGCAGAAGTTGTCAGGAAGCAGAAGGTAGGAGAAAGGGAAAGGAAACTCAGAGTGAAGGTGGAACAAAGGGACAGTTAATTGGTTGGGAGAGAGAAAGAACAAGTTCGGAGAGAGACTCTGTGACCCTGGGAGAGAGATGGAGAATCCAGCTGGCCCCCATCCAGGTGTCTCAGTTTCTGTTCATCCTGAAAACAAATTCACCCCTTCTTCTTTTTTAAAAAAAAAATATATTTTTATTGATTTCAGAGAGGAAGGAAGAGGGGGAGAGAGAGATAGAAACATCCATGATGAGAGAGAACCATGGATTGGCTGCCTCCTGCAAGTCTCCCACTGAGGATCGAGCCCACAACCCGGGCATGTGCCCTTGACCGGAACCGAACCTGGGACCCTTAAGTTTGCAGGCCCAATGCTCTATCTGCTGAGCAAAACCAGCCAGGGCTTCACCTCTTCTTAAGGAAGCTAAGCAGGACTCAAAAGAGCCCCAGTGGACACAAGAATCAACAAAAGTTTTCCAGCACTGAACACAAGGAAGTTCACCATAGGAAGCACATGCAGGTTTTAGAGAGAGATTCATCTAATTTCAAAGGGATGTGATGAGATCAAAACAGTAGGGAAGGGAATGGCTTTCTGGCCACAGCAAGTAGGTGGTAGGCCCTGGGAAAGAACTGGGTTCCCCTCCTCCAGGGCGGCCTGATACCCCTCTGACCTTACTCTGGGCTTCTGTTACTGGAGGAAAAGAGGCCGTGCAGAGCAGTCTGGTCCTCCTACCCCAGGCCAGCAGACAGGGAACTCACTGAAGGGAAGTTCACTGTGAATTCTAAGTGCCTCAAGATCTAGTGAAGCAGAGAGACCATGGAGATCTGGGCACCCAGCACCCCCAGGGCCCATCGGTAGGTGCAGATGACTCATCCAGAATTCCTTCAGGCCCCTGTGCAGGCTTCCCTTTCAGAGTCTGGGCCTGGGTTAGATGAGATGGTCCCTCCTGATAGTCAAACATCCCTTAATGCATTTAACTGGGCTAAATTGTGCCGCTGTCCCAGCCCAGAGGCAGGAATCTGGATCAGTTGGGGATCCTAACCCAAATACTAGTGGGGGCTTTCCTTCCCACTTTCCCAGATTATCCCATTCTCTCCTGAGACTCATGGGGAAGTTGTCACATGGGGCTAGTTGCAGGGAAGTGAGTGAATGTCCAGGGCAAAAGCAGGTGTTATCCCCATTTAGTGGTTAGCAGGCAAGTCTAAAATCGAGGAAAAGAATTGGCTTCACCTCCTTGAACCCCTAGCCTGGCCCTGGGCATAGGCGAAGGACCACAGCAGCTAGAGGAGAGCCCACCACCTCTTGTACTGGCCTCAGGGACTTTGCCCTTTGGCTGGAATGCTCTTTCCACAGATGACCATAAGGATCCATCCCACACCGAAGCCCTGACTGGGTGGCTCAGTTGGTTGGAGTGTTGTCCCGTGCACCAAAATGGTTTCAGGTTTGATTCCCAGTCAGGGCTCATATCTAGGTTTCAGGTTTAATCCCCAGTGTACATTGATGTTTCTCTTTCTCTCATTCTCTTCTTCCCTCCCTCCCTCTCTCTCTAAAATCAATGAAAATATATGCTTGGGTGAAGATAAAAAAAAAAACCCCACTTGATATTATTTTATTATTTTTTATGTATTGATTTTAGAGAGAGGGAGGGAGACACAAAGAGAAACATCGACCTGCTGCTCCACTCGTCCATGCATTCACTGGTTGCTTCTGCATGAGCCCAGACCAGGGATTGAACCTACAACCCTGGCACATCAGGGTGATGCTCCAACCAACTGAGATTCACGGCCAGGGCTCCCTCTTTCTTTAGGTCCCTGCTCAAAGCACTTTACTACCTGTCATAGAATATGGTTATGTGTTTCTTGTCTGTCTCTCTCCACTGGAGT